AATTTACAGTGGTCCTTCCCTCTTTGTCCTTCTCCACCCTCAAGCTGGATCTAGCAAAAAGAACTTGTACTGAAATCGTGTAAGACACCTAGCAGCACCAAACTAGAAATTAAAATTGAGTGGCTTTCATAATGACCAGTAAACATTATTGTGTTCATTGAAGCATAAAGTGGAATAATTCATGTTATAATCAAAGCTGTCACAGCACATTACTAGCAAATTGTGAATCTAGGTTCATCCACCCACAAATATAAACAGAATTTCTTCCTGATATCAAGACTCCAGTGAATAAACTCAACTTCTGTAGGAGTGGCTGAGGTCATTTACATGCAAAACTTTGACTCTTTACCCACTGAAAAACTAAACAGAAACAGTCCAGTACAACCTGGATAGTCTTCAATTGTTTAACAGTGTAGCAATTACTCTAATTATATAAAATACCATGATGAAGCTGGGAAAGATCTGGGCCTTTGGAATATCTACTCATATTTCAGTTCAAGTGTGAAACATTTGCATACTTAAGGAAATTTAACTGACTGGCTCTACATAATCAGCAGGTCAAGTGCACATTAAAGAGGAACAGCCATAATCACTTCTAATAAAACCTGACAAAATTAATTTTTTGGGGAGTCTTCACTGCTATTGTTATGATGGCAGCTACCCTGGGAGACCTGAACCTAGTTTCACTATATTTTGACAAAATAGCTACTTCTTTCATTGACTGTTTCCATAATCACTGCCTCTCCTCCAGTTCTTTAAAAAAGTATTCACAGCACTCACATGTGCTCTTTTAGTTTCAATTCTCCACTGATATGAGTATTATGTCGTGCTCTCCTTCTTTTGTTGCAAAGCCTCTTGCAGCAGCTGTTATGCTCAATTTGAGAATCACCAATCCCCTTACAGTCTTCTCTTAATCTAACTAGATATCCACATGAAAGGAAGAAATCAGGCCCTATCTTCAGGGCCCTTAACTTTTTTTTCTGAAACAGTTCTGTGGAACACTACATTTAGTCTCGAGCATTTTTGAAAACAACAGTCAATCATGGTTTGTTAGTCTCAGAATGTTGCAACTAATCTAGTTGGAATATTTTTACTCTTCAATTCTTGGGTTTTTTCCCCCAACAATTATGAACTGAAATTAAATTTTAAAAATTTGAAGCTTGGGTATTAGTTGATGCTTTACATGGGAGCTACATACTGGAAATACAAAAACAAATGTGCTGCTAATTATAACAAGCAGTATTTTAGAATTTTTGAAATGTCTGAGCTAAGGGTAATTAACGAGAATGAAAATGTCCAGTAAAAGTAACTACAGTCAGAAGCAGAAATCTGCCACAAGTAGGGTGTTTCTGGAAGGTTTTTCCAATGAGAAATAAAGTACTTCAGAAGAAAGAAACACGGGAAAAAGCATTAAACCAATACTTCTTGGAGAAAACGGACATAAAGCAGTGTAAGTTTGAGCTGCACTTTTATTCATATCTGGGTAGACTGAAAAATGTAATTCCAGTGGTTTCTCTACATGCCCAGTTCTCACGTTATGGAGGGATATGGAACATGAATTCTGCTGTGTTTAATATTCCTCTGATTGTATTGCATGGAAAAAAAAGCACCACAGTATTTTGAATCAGGACAAAAATTTCAGTGTTAAATGAATTAAAAAATGAATGGAAATTAATATTGGAACAAATGTTTTTATTGGCCTCTGTGTATTTCCTTCAGTAACCCTGTCTCTATAGTATGTGAGTTCATTCACAGACTGAAAGGGGAACACAAACAGTTTTTGGAACAGTGACACGAGCAGCTCATAGGATTTTGATGACAGTGCCTGTCAAACAAGCACTCTTACATGAATGGAAAAAACTCTCAAAATCAAAAGCAGGTGCTTTTATTCTATATCTAATGCCATCCAACCATTCTAAGCAGTTCCTAACAAAACTGCCCAGAAACTATTCAAGATAAAATCAGGTAAACATTTTAGGTGAATTCGTAAGTAGCAATGACTACCAAATAATGTGTCAAAAAGTAAGTCTTCCAGAAGCAAGTATCCGGAGTTTTTCAGTGAAACTGCAATACTGTTAATACAGGTTTAGCTGAAATGAATGAAATAGACTCTCTAGCTTCTACATAGCTATATATAGCTTTTTCAAAAAGAAGCCTCTAATTCTAAAAACCCAATCAAAGTTCAGGAAAAAAAAAACAAACGAAAAAACAAACAAGCAAACCTCAAGCTCCAATATAACATAAGGGCAATATAATTATAACTAATCAGACAAACAGCAATTTTTTAACTTTAAAACCTTAGCACAAAACCTGATGTTAACATTTAACTAAACGTAACACGAAAAGCCCCAAACATTACAAATAAAAAGAGAGCGGCAGAAAGGTTACAAGGACTATAAAGACAAAAAGTTAGAAATAAGTGCATCCTTCGGCGCGTTGGATCAGAATCGGGCCGTGAGGCCACTTCTCCTCACTCCCCTTTCTCTTCCCCCTACTTTTTCCTCAGTTTGTTGCTCTCACAAACACATGAACAGTATCTGCCCCCAAGGGCCTCTCGCAGTCGCGGGTGGGGAGAATGGCGGGCAACTTTATCACTTCACTTCGTGCCCGACATTTGGGCCGGGGCAAGAGGAGAGAGGGAAGGAGGCAGCGCTCCGGAGCCCTCCCCTCAGCGTGAGCCCTGCGGGGCACACACGGGCCAGCCGGGGCCGGGGCACCAGCCCGGGCCTATCCACCTGCCCGGCCCGGAGCTGGCCTGCTCCTCCGCGGAAGAGCCGGCCGAGCGGCTGCTCCGACAGCAGCACCCGCCCCTCGCAGCCCCTGCCCGCGTCCTCGTCCCCGGCAGAGAAACTCATCCTGGATGCCCGCGCTCCCTGCCGGGGCAGCACCCGGCGGGGCGGCTGCTGCGGCAGGCGCGCCGCACCAGCAGCGGCCCGAAGCGGCGCCGCGCCGGCGGCACCCCCGGCTGTAGCACTGAGCCCCCACGCCATCCCGCGCCCTACCAGATCGTAGTCCTCCTCATCATCGCACATGAAATCATCCTCCATGTCAGACATCTTGGCCGGAGGACGGGCGGGGGGCGGTGGCGGGGACGGCCCCTTCTCCCACAACCCCGCGCGGCGCTGCCCAATGTGGCTCCGCTCCGCCCGGAACCCGCTGCCGCCCGCGCCTCTCCCGCCCCCGGCCCGGGGCGCTCGGAGCCCAATCCGCGCCGCCCCGTCGCCGGCTCCCTCCCCCTGGTAGCGACCGGCCCTTGGCAACGGCGGCCGGGCGGGGCCTGGGCACTGCACGCCGGAACCTCCCGGGCCGGCGCTGCCGCCGCCCGGAGCCCGCCGTGCTGGCGCCGGGGCCGCCTCCCGTGTGTCCGGCGTGGGCGCTGCCAGCCCGGATCCCCCACGGAGGCTGCGAGACTGGTGACTGGCGCGTCTCTGGAAGGTCGAGGGAAGTGATCCTGCCGCTCTGCTCAGCCCTGATGAGGGCGCATTTGGAGTACTGTGTGCAGTTACGAGTTTTACCGTACAAAAGAGATACGAACTCCCAGAGCAGGTCCAGCGGAGAGCTAATAAGTTGGCCAAGAGTGGAAATACCTCTCATGAGGAAGGGCTAAGGGAGCCGGGCCTGTTCAGCCTCAAGAAGAGGCAGCTGAGAGGGGCTCCTGTGTAAAGTGTGGGTGTCAAGAGGATAGACTCGGGCTCTTCTGTGTGGTGCCATCCAATAGAACAAGGAGTAATGGGCAGAAACTGATGCACAGAAAGGTCAACCTGAATATGAGGAAGAACTTCTTTACTGTGCAAGCGACGGTGTAGGGGAACAGATTGCCCAGAGAGGTTGTGGAGGTTCCCTCACTGGAGATACTCCAGAACCATCTGAACACAATCCTGGTCCATGTGCTCTGGGATTACCCTGCCTGAGTAGGGAGGTTGGGCCGGATGACCCTCGGTGGCCCCTTTCAACCTGACCCATTCTGTGACAGCTTGGCCAGTTGCTGTGACCAGCATCACTGCTCAGTTTCATTTTGCTTTCCTCAGTGCTGCTGTACCTGGGCTGCCTTCATGACAAGAAAATAATACCAGAGCAGCAGTTTCAAAGGCTTGAACTATTTAAATTCACAGATCTTGCAAGCCAATGGCTTTATAAAGATTTTTACATGCTAATTTCTGCTGCTGCCTTCAACTGCGTGAGGCAAACCCCCCAACAAACCAGCTCTGCCTCCCCATCTCCACAAAGCCTGGGGTTCTCACAGACACCCAGATGCATCTGCAATATTTACTGGTCTCCAGGTTTTCCTGTTGTTGGTCATTTTATGTTGTTACAGTTTCTGACACTGCGTTTTTGTTTTGCTTTTTTTTTTTCCCCTACAGCTACTGCCAAGTCTTTTTAAAACCTGTGTTTGTATTCTACAACTATACTAACGGGGAAATAAATGTTTTACCTCAGAAAACCCGCAATGCAATTTGTTACTGTGCTTCCTTCACTCCGAGTACTTAAAGCTCCCTGAATAGGATGAGAGACAGTAAGATAAATACCAAAATGGACGAAGATACACACCAAAACACTGAGTGAGTCAGCCTGTGAACATTTGAAATGCTCAGTTCCTTGCTAGTATCTGCAGCCATTTATCTGAGGGTAGCAGGAGCCACGGGGCTGCCTGTTGGGAGGGGAGCTGGAGGAACCACATACCAGAAAAACATGGGGCCAGAGATACCCATCCCTCCACGCCATGACGGATGCAACTGCCCATTTATTATTTTCATTGCACGTGCATTTTGCAGGAGCATCGGCAGCAGTACTGGAAAGCCCCAAACATTTCTTTGGCACGTCGCAGCAGCTTCCCCGTCCCACCTGTGCTGTGGCGGCCCCGAGGCCGAGCGGGCCGCGGGGTGTCCGGGGCCGGCACCGCCGGCGGGGCGGGCCGGGCCGGGCCGCCGGCGCTGCCGCCCGGAAGGACGCGGCGTTCGCCTGCCCCGTGACCGCGGTCCCGCCTGACGCGGAGCCGCGGTGGAACCGCCATGGCGGGGGACGGCCCCAGCGCCCTCCCGGTGCAGCTGGTGGAGCAGCCCAGGTGGGTGGGTCGTTCCCCGGCCCTGCCGCCGCTTATCCAGGGGTGGGTGGGCGGTGTGCAGGCGGCCGGGGGAGGTGGAGGATGGGTGGTTAAGCCCATCCTCGTTCCCCGGGCTGAGGTTCGAGGAGGTGGGGACTCGTAGCGTCGCGATTTTACCCTGACACGACCAAAGACTTCTCGGGAAGCTGCCGCTGCCCGCGGCGCGTCGGGCTCCGGCCCCTTCTCCCCCCGACTGCAGCGCGGCCCGCCCTGGCGCCCCTTGCAGGGTGGCGCTGGGGCGGCAGGAGGAATCGTTCGTTCATTCATTCATTTCTTCATTCATCATTTCGCCTGCATCATTTTCCCCCCGGAGTTTTTGGGGAACACTGATTATTCTCTCGTTTTTGCTGTAAAAGGCCCTGGAGCGGCGGTGGCCTGGCCCGTCCTTGGAATGGCTGCGGCACGTGCCAGCGGCCGCTTCTTGCCCAGGGAGTTCCGCTCGGTGTGTGGAATTAAAACGCTCACAAACGAACCTTTTTAATTGCTTTAGCATCGCAGAAGGAGCACTTCTTAAAACACTGGTTACTTGCATACGATTGCACCTTAAATCCCACAGAAACGACAAGTCCAGCATTTCCAGACTTGGAAGTGTGAAGCTGTGAGGAGTGCCTTTGCCTTAAGGCTTCTGACAATTTTCTTCTTGATGTAGGTGCTTGTAATTCAGTGTGCGTGTTGCAACATCAAGGCCAAAGCCTGTAAATAGCCTTTCATCAGGCCTGCTTGTAAAACCCACATTAAAAAAAGAGATCAATCAGCACTTAGATAAACATGCCCTCATGACTGCTTTGTTTGTTGTCTCATGGTACCAACACTACTATAAAAATATGTGTGAAACAAAGCAGCATTCTAAATACTGACACAAAAAGGAATAAAGTTAGCACCTAGAATTCTGCCAACAGATTCCCCTGTGGACTATAATATTATTAATGTGATCTAGAGAAAGGGTTGAACAATGAAATGGCAGAAATTGCTTTTGCTAATTGGAAGAGTGATATACCAATCAATACTAGGGGAGATGATAAGAAGGGGAAATCGCAGACCTAATACAGCTTTGTAATTGTTCACAAAGATAGATCTGAAAGATCTTTTAAAAAAATCACAACAAATTATATAATCATATTTTGTAACTTTCCATTTATAAAAATCTTACAAAGCATTTGAATATATGTAGCTGAACAGTAACACAGCCTTTACAAAGATGTACAAACTAAATAATTGTGGAATTTTCTAACATCTGTTTCTCATTGCAGTCTTCTTACTTCCACTTTGCATTAATTAGGCTTCCAGTTCTAGATTTAGATTAAATGTAGAAACCTTATCAGGGTTCTGTTACTGGATTTTTGTCAGTAGACTAAAATTTTGCTTTACGGTAGTTCCAAAAGGAGTTACTATCAAGTTTCCTATGCTTCACGAAGATATTGGCTTCATCTGTTCTCAGCCCTCGTTTTCCTACTGTTCTGCAAGACACACTAAAGTATTCCAACTTTGCAAACATCAGGCAGAAGGTTGGTGCCTTTACAGTTGCAGGAAATAAAGCAGTATGACTAAGTTTATTTGCTTTGAACTTTCAGTAGCACGCCAGGCACCTCTAAATGGAAAACCTGAAGTACTTTTGCTGGAATCCTGTGGAGTAAATACTGTCATAAATCATGGGGATAATCTGATGTTTGAAATTTTAGTTCTCTGTGCATGTATTTATACAAAAATGGGGTAGTGTCAAATATGAAAACTGATAAAAATCAAGATCTAAGTAGAGTCATCAACGTTATGTGAAGAGCAGAAATAAGCAGCTTAATATCACTCTTGATGTAGCAGAGAAAACTACACATACTTCAGGAAGCTGAATTGAATTTGCTTCAAGAAGCATTGAAACTTCCCGTCTTTTATGCAGCTATAGTCCTTCTAAATGTTTCTAACCTACCTTTCAGATTGCAGAAACTGAAGGAGATGTTTATATCAAAGTTTGGATCAGCTCCCAAATTTTATGCTCGTGCACCAGGACGAGTCAACTTAATAGGTAAAAGAGAAAAAATTAACCTTATTTTACTTCATCCATCATCATGGAAGTCTAGTAGATTAAAACACAGAATGAAAATGCTGGTCTTAAATTTTTTTCAGAGAAGTTTCTAGTGATAAATGGAAAATCATATATAATTTAGTAGATTTTACTGTATCTTATTTTAAACAACTCTGCATGGATATCAGTTTTGGAGAAAAAAATTATAGACAGTAGCGATGGTTTTGAAAATTGGAGTAACTTGCCATCTTACGGTTTTTTAAAATTAATTAAAGTTACCAAATATAACCAGCCCCACAGTAATGCACAGGATAAAGCATGAAATTATTCTACCACCATCTCTTTTTTACTCTTCCATGGAGATGTGTTCACAGAACTTAAAACAGTGGGTGTGATTCACTGGCAGACTGGAGAGTCACAATTACTTTGTGTTTAAGACTTACTTTTATTTCTGTAGCAGCCTTATTTTTGAGATTTCTCTGTCCATGTTAGGATTGTGTTCTCCCTGGAGCTGAGTTTCTTGCATATGTTCATAAAATAATCCTACGCATTTGAAGACATAGTAAAAGGATCCTGAAAAACAGAGCTGTAAAAGTCAGTTTGTTTACTGTGCAGTTAATGTTAATTTTTATCTCAGTGTTGTGTGAACATCTCATATAAACTAAATAGACAGCATATGGTAACTGGGAATTATTCCCAAGGGAGAAGATGTTTGCTACATACATCTTCTATTTGATTGTTACTGTATGTGTTGTATGCAGCTGTATTAATGATTATTTAAATGTAGTATCTTCTTGGAAAAAGGTGCAGAAATTGTATGTGCATGACCATTCTCATTCTTGGACAATAATCTATATGGTGAGGTTTTATAAAAATTTTTGTAACCCAGTGTTAAAACATGAACATTTATAAACAGATGCAATAGATAAAAATCACTAAAGAAAGAAAATCTTTTTGTGAAGTAATACAAAATGGAGGAAATGTACCCCAAATTTTAGGTAATAAGAGTTGAAACTACAGTAAGAAATTGTCTCATCCAGTAAACAACACTGAAGTCCTGCAGAAGCCCTGTTACTAGAAATTTGCTATTCTACAAAGAATTGCTGCAAAGTGTTTTCTTTGTTTCTTTGCTAGGAGAACACATAGACTACTGTGGTTATGCTGTGCTCCCAATGGCTATAGAACAAGATATCCTGATTGCAGTGGAACCTGTACAAACTCAAGTTGTACAACTGGCAAATACAAATTCTTCATACTTGTATGTAATTACTTTGTTTATTCATTAATTTTTATAATCCTCTTCATGCATTGCAATACAGTTTACCTTTTCAGAGATCTGACAGACTTCCATTGCAATACAGAGTCTGATTGTGTAAAACAATTTGTATTAGCAGGTGGAATCCCACAGACTGACTCCATGCAATGTCTATTAGTTCAGAGCAATAGCTTTGCAGCTGCTGTCTCCCACCTGTTTGTTCATATTACTCTGTAAAGCCTCTGATTTTTCAATCCTTCTAAAAGTGCAATTCTGTCTTCCATTCTTTTATCTCATCTTGCTCAATATAATCCCCATAACTGCTAGGAGCTCAGTTTCTCCTGGAAAAGAGAGTGAAATGTTTTGTAATCGATTACTGTAAAGGTAACACTCCCCGGCTCTGGAGAACCTGGGGCTGTGTTTTCACAACACAACAGCTTTAGCAACAATCCTGGCTCAAAAAATCTGTGTTCCCTCACTTCCACTTCCTTCACAGTTGTTGTTCACAGAATTATAGACCAATTTAGGTTGGAAAAGACCTTTGAAGATCCCTTGTAAATAATCATGTTGGCCTTCTGCTGAACTCCCTGCCAATGTCTTTCATGTATTGGGAAACCCCAAAACTGAATGCAATATTCCAGCTATGGTCTCACAACTGCTGAACATAGGGAAATAATCCTGCCACTCTTTCCAACTTCAGGGACATTTTTCTGCCTCTTTGTAGTAGACTGATATTTGTGTAGTTGCATGGCAGTTCAGATCAGGTCACTCATCCACATGAGCTTTTGTGGACATTTTGTAAAAATCATAATCAGCAAAAGCTTAGTTTAAGCCATTTTTATTGAGCCATTGCTTTAATTGGTAAATTAGTTCCTGAAAGCACAGTGTGTGGCAGCACAGGGACAGGAACATACTGTCAAAAGTGGGAAACACTTGAGCACATATTCCTGCTTGAAGCTCAGTTTGTTATAAACATGTTCTGAACTGCTGCCTGCGACTAAGATAGCTGAAAGGAATTTGTACTTCCATGCTAAGTATAAATACTAAGAGATTTTTCACTTTGTGGAGTGTGTTTTCACATTATAGCTGGGCTGAATTAAGAGTTTGCCACTGCCAAAAGGCAATGGCTTGGCATCTTTTACCCCCGGTCTCCCTGTACCTGCTTCTATGATCAACTCAGCCTCTGCCTTTTAGCAGGTGTAGAGTGCTTGTTTGATCTTAAGGTAAAGTGCACTATTGCCCCGTTTTTTGCTTGGATAATTTTCCGTCATTTTAGTGAACTGCTATGCACTCAGCACTAAAGCTGACTTGAGGTAAACAGTGGGAACAAGCAGTGGTGAACAGGGAAGGGAAATGGAAGTGCATGGGACCTTTCCCCTTCTTCAACAGCAACCTCCCACCAGGGCTTAAGCTGTGTTGCAAAATCATTCTGCAAGAGACAATAGCTTCAGAATTACAATAGTTTAGATTAGGAAAAGTTATTGTAATGAACACTAAATAAAGCAGTAATAAAAAGGTAAACATTTTCACTCGGTCTTCAAGCTTTGCTGCATTATATTGCAATTCAAATGGCTTTCTCAGGACAATTCCACCAAATGTAGAATTATAGCCTTTGAATTTAAATTGCACACACTGACTATATTTTTACATGTGCCCTGGTTTCAGTTTGAAATCCTAGCCATATGATTTTTAAGCCATAAACAAAGAAAAGGTCTCAGAACACAGCATTAAGCATCTTGGTTTTGTTGAGACACTGTTGCTTAAAAACAAAGCTAAAACATGCCCCTAATTTCATAACAAAGAAGTATTTTTCAACACTTTGTATGTTACACCACATAACAAAACTGATGACAGTATGTCTTTTTTTTCCCAGTCTGTTACACTGGTAGATTTATGCCTGTGGTGAATGCATATCTATAGGCCTTTGGTGAACAAGGACTAACCAGAATCCTCTGTAGAATCACTATTTCCTGTTTCATTCTTATTTTGTGAACTGGTAAACTGTGGAACAGTTCTGTGGCACTCTTCCACCCTGATAGTTCATGTTAACTTTTAGTAGAAATAGGACAGAGAACAGGTTGCTAGAAAAAACACCTATTTGTTTTTTATCATAAATTATCTCAACTGATTTGATGCGTTTTATGTTATTGGGACTAAAAAGATACTCAAAACTTAAATTCGTTTGAAGTTCCTGATACCTCCCCTTCACAAAACATTTGTAATTGAAAAGTGTGTGTAGACAGAGTATCTGACATTATACTTCTCAAAATGCCTTCAGAAGTACCAGAGGATGGTAATTAGCAATCAGTTTCCATCTCATGACAAAACCTGAAAGTTTTGTTTGTTTGTTTTTAAATCAGGGTACTTGTACAGTAGACTCAGATTAACAAACAGATTGACAAGACAATAAGGTTCTGTGAGAAAGAGCCAAGCTGATCTCCCAAAAATATGGATTATTTACTATTCAAGCAGTAAAAACCACCTCAGTCACTTTACTTAAAAATCCCATCTTGTCTAATTATACAGAAAATTTGAAGTTTTTATGTCTGATTATGCAGAAGTGGCATTCTTTCCTTAGCATTCTTTAAAACAGAAAGGCTGGAACAGACAATATCAGAGTAGTTTTATTTCATGGGTATGTTTTTCCCAATCTTCTTTTATTTTGTTATGAAGTTCTTATATTGAACTGCCTAATTTCAGTAGGAGGTTCAAAGGCAAGCCTGAAGATTTACTGATTTAAGATAAAGCTTGGATATTTAGAAAAAACTGAATGTGATAACAAGAAATAGACTTAAGGATTCCGGGGATTTTGACAGTCTCACATTCTTTGTCTGTGTGAATTATGTCCGTATAAAACCTGCCAAAATCAAAGCCGGTTTTTTTCCTTTCATTTTCTACGTGAGAAGATTGCAAAAAAGAGCAAAATGCATTTTAAGAAGTCATTAATTTATCTTGAGAACCAGCAAATATAGTCATAATATGTGTCTTCTTGTTCATTGAAATTTTACTCTGAGAGGTAAAAAGAATTATGAACATAAAATATTTTAGAACTCTTCTTTGAGGCAAAGAGGACTTAAGATTCCTTTTCTCATAATCTCTTTCACACATTGCTTTCCACCAGCCTTGTTTTTTACAACAATAATTTAGGATTATTGTAGGAAGCAAGCATAAACAAACAAAGAATTTTAAAATCTTCATTACTTATGACAAGTATTTTATATTTTACAAATACCTCGGGGAGGGTTTATTTTACTCAAGAACCATAAACAAGTTGATGTTTTATTCTCTTGGAGATCATTCTAAATACACATGAATCTCAAACTGGAAGAATGTACAGCCATTCTCAAACTTCCTAGTACTCTAATCTCAATACTCCCTTTAATATCTTTTGTCTTCCTCTACAAAACCTAATAATTTCTGACACTAGCTGTGTGCAATGCTTTGCTGCTGCATTGTTGAAAAAAATCGTGCTTGTGGCACTAAGATAGGAGCTTGCACATTAAACTGTTCACCAGTCTGATGGGTTTGCACTGTAATTAAGGTTGAACTTCAATGTACAACTGGCAGAATGGGAATTCTAAGTTGATACCCAAAGTGCAAGGTCTGTCATGTGCCATGGAGCTGGGCACAGGCTGCAGGCTGGGGGTACAAGTGGAGCTGCTCACTGCAGTGGTGCAAGCAATAGAATTGTGGGGCCACTGCAACACTGCTTGTTGCTTTGGGGGTTGCATGACACAACAATCACAGGCTTTAAGTGCACCAGAATGAATGAGCTTTTCAGACATTGCTTGAAGACAATTGTGTCATAGTAAAGATGTTTTATATTTGTATAACTTTTTCTCCATAGGTAACAGATAAAAACATCCTTTCACTGGCATCCATTACAAGTATTAATTAGTGATGTCCTTTTGGACAAAAATAAATCCAGGAAATCAATAATCTGTGTAGTTCACTGGAACCAGTGTAAGAAGGAAAAATTCTGTCCTCTTAGGAGGTGCAGACTGTCCTCTGAAGTATTATTTCGTGAAACTGGTTTTATTCCTGTTAAATATTTCCAGGAATTCGGCTGCCTCTGTTCAAATTCTTTAGCAGAGCTTGTCTTGTAGAGCACATCTTGGTCTGGAACTTTTGAATATTTTTAATTTGATTTCTTGATGTTCTCAGTGCCTTTGCTGTTTCTGTGTTGGGCACCTGCTGTCATGACATCAAGCAGATAAAGTTCCTGGCTGTTCAAGGGTGCAGACTGCCAAACAACTTGCACACCTTGGGGACTGACACACCTCTCTGAGGTCTCTGCATGTCACCCATGCCCATTCTGACAATATCTAGCTGCTCTTTAGGAACATTCAAGCTCACTATTTTTATTATTTTGAAAGAAAGGTGGAGTAGGAATTATCCTGGAGGAAACAGATAAAATATTTAAACTAAATATTTTTGTCTTGTAACATACATAATATAATTCTGCAGCATGAGGCCTGTTCTAGTCAAGTGCCATTCAGAGCAAAGGTAATGAAGATGAAATCCTGAGAAGGAATTACCAGAGAGCCTGAAGTTTATCTGTCTCTAGTCAAGGCTTGACAGATATGATTATTTAAATTTTCAATTCTAAGAAAACTTCATAGCATACACATACATGATGGAAGGCATCCTGCCTGAATTAAGGATGTCAAAGGCAGCTTAATTTCGGGATATATTTAATATACTCTTTATACTTAATCAAGAATTCTTATGCTTTCATCTAAAAAACCCATTTAGAAATGATTAATAAAGAAGGTAAAAAGATCAAACAAAAAACCAAGCCAGAAAGCATTGCACTGAAAACCAGCAAACCAGCCTTGTCCATCGGCAGGTGGCAGTAACAAGCCACGTTTTTTCAGACTAAATTTAATACAAATTAAAGCCTCAAGGTTTTTCTGTTTTTGCAGGGATTTCAGTACTAGTGTTAATAACATTCAGATTAACAAAACCAAACCTCAGTGGCATAACTACTTCCTCTGTGGACTGAAGGGTATTCAGGTAAGCCAAATCCATTTAATTTATGAAATTAATGTACAAATAAAATACAACAAGAATACCTGTTTACTCTCAAAATGTTTCCCTGCATTCTATAGCTTTTTCTTTTTAACATACAGTTAAGTATTTTTATATTAAAACTTGAAGAGTGGATATGAGTGGGTTTGCTTTAAAATATTTGCAGAGCACTATTTTCATCTCTATAAAACAAATTACGGTAGCAAATAATTGCTTAGGAAAGTTATGATCAAACATTATCAGGATGACATTTCTGTATTTTGAAATCAAAAGGAATGCTTTCCAATGGAATTATTTAATTAAAATATTTTTTGAAAAAGATTTGAAGGTTTGTCTTTCAGGACATGAAGATCATATCTTAGCCCTTTTCTTTCTATGGAAGCATTTAAAAAACATGGACTTCCATTAAAGCTTAAAACCTATAATTTGTGCACAACAGCTGAGTGAAGCTGACTCATGCAGTAGGCAAAAGCAAATGCAAAAGCCAAGTAAACAGCATACAGAAGAAATAATCCATTAAGAACCATTACTCATCCTGGTTTTCAGGGTTTGGAATTTCAATGGGATTTTCAGAATGTCCCGAGTTAAAAGTGCAGCAATGCAGGAAGGGGCACACTTACAGGAAAGGCAGGAGCACAGACAGACACACAGACACACACAGACACACAGACACAGACACAGACACACAGACACAGACACACAGACACACACACACACACACACACAGACACACAGACACAGACACACAGACACAGACACACAGACAGACACACAGACACACACACACAGACACACAGACACACACACAGACACAGACAGACACACACAGACAGACACAGACACACAGACAGACACAGACACACAGACAGACACACAGACACACACACACAGACACACAGACACACAGACACAGACACACAGACACAGACACACAGACACACAGACACACAGACCAGACCTTTTCCTGTCTGCCTACTCCAGGTTTATCTCCCTCTCCAGACTGACCTGACGACACAATTGTTGTGACAACCAAGAGCTGGTTGTCAGTGCTGCCCTGGGAGGTGCCCTTAACTCACCATCGAGGCTCCTGCAAATGTCACCTGCTGTCAGGTGAGGCACAGAATTCACGGCCCTTTGAGGGGAAAAAAAAAAAAAAGAAAAAAAAGAAAAAAAAAGTGACTTTCTGCTCGATGATCTAATGATATTTCTGGAAGGGCAGATGGGATAAACAGTGATGGCAGGGCAGGAACAGCCAGCCCAAATTATGGGTAAATGTGCTTTTTAAAGCACGTGAAGTTTGCCTCAGGATAGGCCATCTAGGTCACCCCACAGGATGATCCAATAGCTAAGGACTGCAGACTGCTGAATAGCCTACCTCAGACCTGTCACTGGAGTCTTCAAAATACAATATTCAGAACAATCAGTGCCACAAATCACTTTAATGCAATTCACACGTCCTAAAAGCCCCCTGATTCTATACATAGACCCAAATACATTACTTATGCGTGCAGTAACATGAGTATTTTCAATTTTGTATTGCTCAGTAACACAGGCATTTAAATTGCACTGACTGTAGAGATATAGATTAGGTTTCTTTACAATATAGCCTTTCTTATATTAAGGCTTGCATGACCAATTGACTTATTTATTTTTCAGTCTGCTACTGAGATTTGTTTCCTAAGGACAAGCTTTCATACTTGAAGGTTAATTTGCAAAGCAGGTTTGCAGACTCTAGTACTGGCAGAAAATAAGCATAAATGTTACAGACTTAAGAAACTCTGAAATACAAGTACTCAGAGGGTCCAGCAGGATAATCTGTTTATATTAAGTTGAACATGCTATCCTTTTGGGACAGAACTCTTGCAGAACTTGGCAAAGTCCATTTTCATTTTTGAAACTGAAGTACGTTTTCTATTTAAACATCGCGTGATAAGTCTGCAAGCCTGATTCACATTCAAGACATCCAGAAACTGTGGATCAGTTTCTGGTTACTCAAGCATTTTCTGTTTTTGAACAAGCCTGTCTAGTGTTCTTCATGAAGGGGCATGGGCAGCAATAGTATTCTAGATATGAATGTCCTTTATTTGTAAAACAGGAAATTCAAAATATAACTTTAAAGACTTTAAAGGAGGCTCTTTGTGTTTGCTGATCTCTACCATTGATATTTATTTTTGAAGTTGTTTCAGGAGAAGCAGTAGAAATCTTTTGAAGGTGGACATTTCTTTATTAAAATACTGTTATTTTTTCTGATTTCTGACACTGTAACATAGTTCATTGACATATAAATTGCATCAGAAGTCAGCTGTTCATATACCCCCCATATACAGTCAGTGATTTTTTAATAAGTACTGCATGTTTGTTTCAAACTAATAGCAGAGAGAAATTTATATAAAAGTGATTATAAATAAAAAGACAAAGCAACTAAAGGATAATTAAAAGAATATGTACATGAGGATTTATGACTTCTGGATTAAATGTATTATCTGTAATATCTATCATGTATGTTAGAATATTTTAAACTTCATTAAAAACCAGCATGCCAGAGACCATCCCCTCTGGTAGGTGTGTCTTTGTGACCCTAAAGCACAGAGCTCCTTAAGTACCATTGTGGTTTTCCCAGTGTCAGTCCTGTGGGTGCTTCAGGACGAGTATCTGGCTTTGCAAACAGCTGCATGGCTGCTGCTCCCCCTCAGTGTCATGTGGCTCCCTAACGCCACGTGCCAGCACTGGAAGTGAAGCATAAGGTGGACCTTGAGCTCTTCGTGGTGCCTAAAATGAAGAGCTGTGGAGAAAAGGACTGAAGTAGGGTATAAAAGGATTGGTGACTTTGCACTGTCACCACAGCAGCTCAAAGCAGAACCAGTTGCTGCAAAACCCACCCACGAAGCTCGGTGAATTCTTGGGCGTGCAGCCCATCCTGAGTTCTGCTTGGGGTAGTTATATGTTTGTGTACAGCAATTGCAGACATACCTTTGGCTGAAGCCCCACCACTGGCTTTCTTCTTAAGGAACAGAATGCAAATTTTGCTTTTGGTTTATTTTGGAGATACCAGAAGCAGGTCCTTGCTTCCAGCAACTCAGCAGAAGGATTCTCTTTCTAAGTATCAGATAATTGCAAGCCTGAGCCTGTCTGTACTTGAAACTGAGATTGTTTATTTTTTCATTGTTAGGAACATTTTGGTCTTAATAACCCAACTGGAATGAATTGTCTGCTAGACGGAACCATCCCTCCAAGTTCTGGTCTCTCTAGCTCCAGTGCTTTGGTGTGCTGTGCAGGACTCGTGACACTCAGAGCTAATGGAAAAACCCTCTCTAAGGTAATTTACTGTAAAACACGAGAGTGTCAGCAGTAAAATTCTACTTAAAATTAAATATTGTTAATGCCTGTAAACATTAAAAACACGATACAATTGTTTTTGCAAAGAGTTGTTGGATATAAACTTAAGATATTGCACAATTGAGCAAACATCTTTGGCCAAATTTTGGCAGGATTTGAATTTGGCAAGAAAACAGGCTTACATTAAAGCTGAAAAAAGGAGCATTATTGTAAGCCTGTATTTTGGCCAACCATCAGGTCCATGCCTGGACCAGATGTGCTATGTGCAGGCCAGGGCTGAGGATATATGTGCTGAAGCATGTGGACCACACCCCCGAGGCCTTTACTCTCTCCCTGAATGACTTTTCATGGCTTTAACAGCAGAGCATCTGTTGGAGGCCTGTGGAACAATTTCTTGATAAATTATGTAATCAGCACAAAGTAGAGGTAAAATTCTTCCATCTGACTCTCCTTATGCTCTTCACAGTTTTTTTGGAATGAACATATTTACAATCCAAAATGTATTCCTCACTTTTAAACAAACATTAGTCTAAAAACAAACCCCAAGTATGTGACCTGTTAGCAGTACAACTGTTAGCACTGTTTGGCTTGTGTAATACAGATTTCTGGAGGAGTCATGGTCCTTGAAGGTGCCATATGGGAATGAAGTTCTCTCCATTAAAAATGTCTGGTTAAGTGAAACTAGGATCTTAAATTAGAACATTGTCAGGAAGAGAAAAGAGCAGATCTAAATGTGACTGTTACACATATTTGTGCCTATTGTCTAAGACAGACATTCCCAAATTGTGGTACAAAGCCAACTGAAAGTGGCACATGATGATGGCAGCTGTTAACTCTGCTTGTAACAAGCACTTCTCTGAGCCATGAGGTGAACAGATCCATACAGAAGGTTTTTGCTGATCTGTTGAGATGTACTTCTCTATGAAGCTGCAGTTGCAGGAATGCTCTCAGCAGTGAATGCATGATCCCAGATTTCCCAGCTCCCAGGCTGGCCTCAGGAGCATCAGGCAGGGCTCAGACAGAAAGGAGCAGGGGTGGTAAAGCAGGGAAGCTTTTTATGTAGGAGCATGTGGCTACAGTTTCTGCCACCCTGGCTTGTGTTGGTGTGTGATCAAAGGTCAGGAAGGGACTGGGCACCGTAAGAGAGGTTCTGGTTTGGGAGGTGAGACACATAGATCAGTGGTGGATGAAAACATGGAATTGAGGCTCCTTCTTGGATGAATGAGTCTGCAATTAAAGAGTTGGAAATGACAGAATGTGTACCTGGCCTGACAAGAAGCTTCTGGTTTTGCATAGATGGTCCTACCACAGGTCAGCACCATCTCTGATAGTGATCACCTCAAGAGCAAAGCTTGGGAACAACTGATCAAAGTCACCGGAGTGCACACGTTCAGAAATTGGATATCTGCACAAGCATAAAACTGACAGAGGTCATAAAGCCCAAATTTTACTAGATGGTAAAAATATGTATCTGGAAAACCAGAAGCCAGGTTTTCATTTTTCCAATTCTGCACACTATTCTTCAGAGAATAAATGATCCAGTGTGTATCTTGAACTGGACTTACACGTGGCTTGGGAGTACCAGCTGGCATTATGCCAAACTTGTAAAGAAAAGTGCAAAAACTCCACATTTTCATAGAAAACTATGGAAGAACAGAAGAAAGACAGAGACTCCACTGAATGTGTCTTTCTCATGTGTCCTGTTCAATCCTCTTCTTGCTAGTTGAAAAATGTGCTGAAAGTTAAGCTTGTGTCTGAAATACAGTTGGACAAACACAAGAGACACAATTGCACATTTTTGTCAGGAAACCCTGCTGTCTGCAGCCAGACATTTTGCACTTGTGATGAAAAATGAGCAATTAATGTACAGATGAGATTTCTCAATGATCACTGTAGGAGCAGTTAAGAACACATACAAGATTTTGTATGCTTGCATAGACCAAGGCACCTGGTTGTCACGGTTAGGAGAGAGGGTGATAGCTCTGAAGACTGATTGCTTTTGTCCAGGCTTTAAGTTTCCTCAAATCTTACAGAACAGTAAAAACTCATTCAGTGTTTTTGGCTAATTTATGATTTAGCATTAGAGACTTCTTATATGTAGCTGAATCCAGAGTCTGTGTTGCACTGGATTTATGCTTAGCCTTGCAGAACTGCCTGGTGTAAGGCAGGGCTAGTCTGAGTATAAATTAGAGCAGTCTAGGCATGTGAATCCTCAGAAGTACAAAACGTGCTCTGGCCACTTCTTGCCAGCTCCTAATGCATCCTGTGCTGGTGTCAGATGGGATCTGTGCAGGATCCAGTCCTGCTGGCTCTGTGTCAGCAGGGAGCTCCCCCATGGCAGGGAAATTCTTAGCTGAACACAAGTAGGGGCCTTCCAGATCCTTTCTGCTAGAAAGCAAACCAGGACGGTGCATTTTTAAGGCTCTGGATATTTATGTGTTTGTTTATTTTAAATAAGAAATATCACTTTATGCCTCCCATCCATCTTTTTTTTTTTTTCAAATGCTTTGTAGTTGTGAAAGTTGTAAATTGTAGTACTTATAAATAACAATATTTGGTTATGATGGTAATTTTATGAGAAAAGACTGACTTTTTGCTCCTCACTAGTCTGATGGACTTTGCAAAATCTTAGTGTGATGGTTTGTAGCAGGAAGACAGGAAACTTTTGGCTTTAGAATCAAATTTGGCTGAATTGTAGGGCTTCTGTAGCCAAAGTTATGAAAAAATGACCTTTTACTGAATGGAACATTTATCTGTTTTGTTTCTGTGAAACTATTTTTATGAGAATATTTTAGTTATATGCTCCTTTTTCCTGATAAATGTGAGTTTAAAATAGTTGCTGTACAGTAAAAGTCGTTGAAATTTAGAGCTTTTATGAGATACACACTTCCAGTGTGAGAGATTAAGAGCCTATGAGATTAAGAGCCTATGAGATTAAGAGCCAAAATCCCACAAAATTAAAAGCATGGCTAGAATTTCATGGTGGCTAACTTTAAAAATAGCACTTTTTTGACATTGAAAACAAAATCAGAAAAAAACATGCTCTCACTAATTGTGTGTAGCAGTCTGCAATAGGGCATTGTTTCAGTGTGCATACAGTATTTTTTTAAAAAACCCATCATACACATACACAATAGTTAGGGAGAATACCAGTTCAAGACAATTCAGCCAGATGTGCAGTGCTAACCAGTTGCAGCAGTGCAATAGTACTCAAATAACAAGATGGAAAACATAGAATGTGATCTTTAAAAAGAATCCATTTTTCTCCTCCAAACAGGATACCAGTCAAATGCTGTGTTGGCATCACTCAGACAGCAGCAATGCTCAGTAGTAGCAGTTCTTGATTTTGAAGTGATTTTTATTTCACCCTTACAAAACCAATCTATTGTATAACTTTTCATCAGGACATGATACTTTTTGTAAAGGCAACATAATAATGCTCTAAACAGCCTAGTGTTTCGTGGTAGGATTTCATGAGTACAGAAGAGCACTTAGGACTGAGTAACTAGATTTACTTGAAAGATGTGATGATAATGGTGCTGTCCAAATGTTAGATCTGGTGTAAGGTCTGTTCAGTCACCTGAACATTTTTTCTGTTACTCAAGGCTGGGTAGCTGTGCATATACTTCTTGAGAAGAGATCAAAAGTGAATGGGGTTTATCTAATTTAAAGTGAAATGTTGAGCCTAGGAAGGTGAATCATACTTGACTTTATCTAGAGTGAGAAAAAGCTAAGTCAGACAGAGTAAATAAAGGACCTAAATCTGCTCTGTAATGGTGCAGTGTCCATTGGTTTCACTTTTTCCAGACTATGGCTTAGATGAATTGGAGTGTGGGTGTTCAACATTTTAAACAATATTTCAACAGTTACTATACCTGCTAGTGTCACTAGTTTCAGTGGGAGTCTGTTGGGCCATCTGGAATCCTTTCTACTTTGTTTCTGAAGCCTCTGTATAATAAGGAACTTGAGTTGAACTCTTTACTGCTCCTAATCCATGGCGGTCTGGCAAGAAAACCTGTGAGTATCCATACTGATAGTGTGACTTTGAAATGGGTAACTTGTGCTGGTAATACTCCAGGGAATTGGATTATACTTTATTTTCTTTAAAAAATATTTCTTTGTATAATTTATTTTATGGCTCTATCAAAAATCTTTGGTAGATGCATGCTCAGGTTAATTATATGAGAAACCAAATTGTTTACACAAAAAATGGCACATAGATATTGTATTTTAAAGTAATGTTAATACAGAGAAATGCAGAGAAAGTAATGTTAATACAGAGAAAGTCCCTTTCTCCCTGTGGAAGTGAAAAACAGGGTTCTTGTTAAGCTTGACTGTGTGTTTGTAATCAAGGGGAAACAGAGTACTTCAGAGCAGTGGTAATCAAAGGCCATAATCTCTCATCAACCAAATTGATAACCTTCTATTTGAGCATGTTAGGGGGCAGACAAAGTCAAGCTAGGATTGCTGTGCTTATGAGGACATCCAGATACTATCTGACAAATATATTCCCATTCTGGAAAAAAGTAAGCATAATTACCTTGCAAAACATATATGAAGTTCAGCTAATTGGGATTTTATGTGCAAACTGGAAGCAGATGGTAACTTTCAGCAACCTATTCCTAGTCAAGATGAGATATTAAAGACATTCCTGGTGGTAAAAATAGCCTCAAAAATTTGGGCATCATTTTATACTTTACTAAATGAAACATAGTATCTTATATTTCAGAAATTATTTTTATACCTATATACTTATATATAAAATGTGCACAGATTGGAAAAAAATGGACAGTATAACTAGAGTTGAAATATGTTATATGATGGAGAATGTTTCCTTCTTACTGTAAAACAGTCCTCTTTATCTATAAATGTTTCTTCTGCATTTTCAGTCTTGTTATTGTGAACCAAACTCTGTAGAATTTAATAGAAGATCTACACTACATTTGCCATTAAATTACCAACATAATTTATTGTAAAGGA